GTTTGATTGGGAAATGGGTTGCAGCAGTGATGGTTTTTGAACCTATTGGAAACGCTGTGATAGAAGGAGTAGAAGATAGGATCCGCTTTTTAGAGCAATTGGTGCTTGATCTGATACCATATGTTTGTATGAACTGATTAGCCGACATGTAGAATTGACGGGGAGGTAATTTAGCAGCTAAAATGAGAGGTCATGTTCAAGTCTCGCTAGGAGACATAGGTGGTGTTTAGGATTAGATTAAGAGTGAATAGTTTGCCAAAGTAAAGATTTGACTATACAATCAAAGTTGTAAAATAAAATAATATTAAATTAAATCTAAAGATTTCCTTTTATTTATCATGGTGTCGTAAAAGTGTTGGGTTGTTTTTGTCTTTGTTCGAGTGATGGTTTTTGGCTAGTTGATATTATCATATTTAGATAGTGCCTCATATTATATTTTAGCTGATTCTATTCTTGTCTCATTAATATAAATAACTATCAATTAAATAAACAAAAAACCATAAAGGGAAAAGGACACTTCTCTCTTATGAATGATAAGAGCGCCTAACAAGGAATTCCAAAGCTCGATTGAGAAAAATAACGTTTCAAGCTAGCTATTCAATATTTTATATCTCGTAATTATGATTAAGTTTTTTCATGCGACCATCTGTATTCACAGTTCTAAAAACGTTCCAAGATCATTTATTATCATTAATTAAAAAATCAAAGATGATAATGGTAAATCTCTTACCCCTAAATAAGTTTGTGCACTGAACTTCAAAGGTTCGAATAGGAAGTTATAAATCACCAACCCATTATATGTTGAAGATCGAATCCTTCTCCCTACTTTCTGAAGCTAAAGCCAAAAAGTTTGAATCTGATATTTTTGAAGCTGCTGGCTACAAATGGTGAGCTCTCTATATCCTTATATATTCAACTATTCTCAACTGTATTATGTTCATATGCAATTATTTATTTATTTTTTTATAACTTTTAGGAGGCTAGAATTGTACCCGAATGGAAATGAGGAAAGTTGGGGCAGTTACATATCAATATATGTGACAATCTGTAATGCAGAAAGTCTCCCAAAGGGATGGGAAGTGGGTTGATGGAAAATTGTGCTTATGATCATATACACCACAGAAGCGTTGATTGGCTTCATTTAATGTTATTAACGTGGTTACATATAAAAGCATGAACTTGACAACCTTTGTGTTAATCCATGTGTTTAAAGATGTTGATGGGAAGAGGACAAGGTTTCATGAGAAGAAGACCAGATGGGGATGTAGTAGACTCATATCACTGACTTCTTTTACTGATGCTAGAAATGGTTTTTTCTTTCTTGATTCTTGTGTGTTTGGAGTTGAGGTTTTTTCTTTATCCGCTTCTTGGGGTTATCCGAGTTTCATGTTGTTAAGTGAAGTTGGTGACCCAGAAAAAGGCTTCCTGTTGGATGACAATCTTATTGTTGAAGCAGAAATTTCAGTTGTTGGCATTCTAAAAATTTTTAATTGAAACAAGTAATCTTGAATTTTAACGACTTCTTACTTCGAAATGTGTGGTTAATTGTTGTTTTGATTAAAAAAACGTAAACATAATTAAAAGAAATATATATTATAAGCTAATAACATTGATCGATCAACAGAGCTTTAAGTTAATAGATTCTAGTTTTCTTCTTCATCATGCCCAAAGCGTTTCCCAATGATCTTGACTAAATTTGCTTGAAGTTGATGCAATAAGCAGGCGTCATGTACATCTGATGTGTTTAATTAAAGATATTGTCAAAAAAAAAAAAAAATACTTGAATCAAATATTGGTTTAATTGAATGAAAATTGAGAGCTTGGAACACATTGAAGTTTTTCAAAGTTTGGGAGAACTTGTGCAATTTGAAAGTTGTTAGAAATTTTCGTTTGTTTTTTGTCGCCATAGCCCCAGCCCAGCCCACAGGTGACCATTTTGTGAATACAGCAGGTGTCCATATGAAATCTGCCATTTAACCTATAAAAATACTTTCAAAATCAGGGATGTCCAAAGACACTCTTGACAATAAGCGTAGCTTCACCTCTAGATGAAGAGTAGAGGTGCAATTATGTTGTTGTTTTGGTTTAAAAATAGAAATATGTTGTGTTGTGTTAAAAATAAAGATACATTTTTGTTTTGGTTTAAAAATAAAAGTAAAATGTTTTGAGTTAAAAACAATGTTTCGAAAGCCAAACCAAACCATCCATGCTAAAAAAAAATTGTATTTAAGGGGTCTCACTTTACTTTCGCACATAAAAGTTAAAATCAATGAACTGACTCTAACTATAACCATACCATGCATATGGGAAATGGTACCATTAAATTCATTGGCATTTGTTAAGAACAAATGTAGGACAACACTCCCCACTAAAATCAAAACATGGATATGTATATCAAAGTTTGATATGTATGCTAATTTAGTAATTTTCCATGTTCACATGCTTAATTGTTGAGATGTGAAAGTTTGAACGAATCAAGTCGTTGGAAACTTGCTAAACCCTATATGTATCAACATTCTTGTATATACATTAAGTGAATTATTGTGTTAGTCCTTGCAAGTCCTTGTTGATTCTATGAATATAATATCTCTTGTTGACTAATTCTTATCAAACTACAACCCATAATTCATTGTTGATCATTTGTCTAAATTGCTTAACTTGTTTTGTTTTCACTTAACAAAAATATATTTAAGGGGCACACTTTATTCTTCGCACATGATCTTAAAGTCACCGGACGGATAACCATATATGCTCGACAACGTCCCGGTTGAGATAGACCGAAGGGATAGGTCGAGCACCTATATATGCTCGACAGTATCCGATTGAGATAAATCGAAGGGGTAGGCCAGCACCCGGATATGCTTGGCAGTGTGTTTGTCTGATATGTGGTATGGTGAGGGAAACTAACTAAGCTTTGTGCTTACAGTTTCAGTTTGTGTTTCAGGTACTTCCATCTTGAAGGGAAAGGAGCCGACATGATCACATTGCATCACATTATGATTTCCACAGTAGAGATTTTGGAGACTTGTGCTCTGATATAATTTTTCTATGACATGTTTTGACTACTTGTTATGATTATTATGTGTTGATATGAATATTTAATGATGATGATTTAAGAATATTGGTTTTACTAAATTAAAAATGAAATTTTCGGGACTTATTTTTGGGATGTTACACATTTTTTGCCATTCGATCCGTTTTTTCTAAACCATCAACTATCTTACTTAAAACTTCAACAAACTCCTCCAAACCAGCATCTATGATCGTGTCTGATGTCTCAAAAAGTTGCATGGAGCATTTGAGCATCGTACTTTCCATGTCCTTGAGATTTGATATCATTTCATCCATTACAAGTGTTTGTCTGAGAACTAAGACATTGTGTAGAATGCATATGTTATTTTGTGGTGTGAAGAGTAGATGTTTTTTCGATTAAAATTGCAAATTGCCCGGATGGCATTGAAATCACATGACTTGTGTTTATAATCATAATGTGAAAGGTTTTGGCCAAGTCTAAGGTTGTCTTCTGCTTTCTCCAACATCTACCGAAAGAAGAAAAATTAACATATTTAAGCAGAATCAAGAATAGTTTTTAGTTTTTTCTTTATGTATCTCAAAGGCTAAAATACATTTATATGGATATATACCTTCTTAATAGAAACTGAGATGTCATATTTATTTGATTTTGGGTTTTGAGGATTTGCATTTTGTTAACTTTATGTCTGAGATGTCGTGTTTCTTTGTGCTCATGTACCGTCTCTCAAGGTTGAAAATTCCAAAAGCACATGCATGACATCTTATGATTGGTTGGAAATTAGGGCAACCCTCCCCCCTTTATAGGCTAATTATGAATGTGTTTGTCCCATCAGAACCCATGTTTGTCTATAAATAATTATTCCTTGCACGCACATCATTGTGAGGTTAAGAGCATATACTTTATAACAGTTAGTAAGCAAAATTTATTCTTTTGTTTTGAGAGCTCAAGTGAGGCGTAACCTTTGTGCGTGATTGTAATTTATCTTAGAAGTTTAATAAAATTTTCTCTCGTTAGTATGTGGACGTATGTCACTTTGATCAAACCACGTTAAATAATATGTTCAGTTTTTAATTTTAGTTTTCAAAAGTTTTATTCGTAAGTTTCACCGAACTTCATTTATCATTTGTCTAAATTGCTTAACTTGTTTTTGTTGTTCACTCAACAAAAATATATTTAAGGGGCACACTTTATTCTTTGCACATGATCTTAAAGTCAGTGGACAGATAACCTTAAGTGCATATAGGAAAAGCTTTCACTAAATTCACTTGTCATTTGGTGATGTCATTTGGTGAGAACAATTGTAGGACAAGGCACGCAGTTAAAATCACATCATGGATATGTATATCAAAGTTTGCTATGTATGTTAATTTAGTATTTTTCAATGTTCACATGCTTAATTGTTGACAAGTGAAAGTTTCATCGCGTTGTTGAAAAATTGGTAAACACCTATATGTATTAACATTCTTGTATATGTAGTAAGTGAATTTTTGTGTTTCTCCTTGTAAGACCTTGTTGAATCTATGAACTCCATATATGCTTGAATATAGTATATCTTGTTGGTTATTTTTATCAAACTAGTACCCAGAATTCCTTGTTGAATCGAATTTTTGTTGATAGATAATTATTGTGTATTAAGCTGAAATGAAATTGCTAGTCATTAATAAGTAAATTTGTGAGTATTCAAACTAGTTGATAAAAAATAGTTTTGTCTTGTTGAACTTGTATATTTTTCTTGAAATTGTTAGTAAAAATGGTTGAATATATTGTTTTTTTGTTAAATACTTTTCTAAATTTGTTTATCCAGAAGTATTTAATAGAAAACAATGGGCATGAAAATGTAAAACACGCGGTTTCAGAATGGATAGCATGGCGGGACCCAACGAATCGAAGGACTCGAGGGAAGACGACCATGAAATAATCAAAATCGAAAGGATCCGTCCAATTTCTCTGTAATTGCCGTCTTTTTCATTCCAACAACCTCAGCTTCATCTCCAGTTTTTGATTTTTTTTTTCTGTTCAATTTTTTCACAACAACAAAAAAAAAAAAGATGATCAGAAACCCTAATTTCCAGGTGAGGAAGAGGAAGTGGACGACGGTTTTGTTTCTGCTAAGAAAGAGGAAAAGAAAGAATGAAGAACCTCATCAAGACGGCGTTAAACATCCTAAAATTGTTGAGATTTTTGACGGAAATGAAGGAGATGATGATGATCATCATGAAAATGATCATTATCGCTCCGATGGGTCTGATGCTGATGAGAGAGACGAAAACCCTAGAGATAATTCCGATGAAAAAATTGAAGGTTTTGAACCGGAAAACCCTAGTTTAGATCTGATGCAGGAGGATGAACAAGAAAACTCAAAGTCTGCGTTATTGATTGTTTCCGAGAGGAAGAAGCATGGTGGAGATACAGATACTCCTCCCGACGATGATTGCTGTCCAATCTGCTTCGATGATTTCTCAATTGCCTGTAAAACAAACTGTGGACACTGGTTTTGTGGTAATTCTTTCTACATCATTTCTTTCTTTCTTCATCTTTTTCTTCCCCATCAATGGTTTTTCAAGGGTTTATTGATTCCCATATACAGCAAATTGCATACTCCAATTCTGGACATACAGAACAGCTCTTCAAAAATGCAATTGCCCAATTTGTGCACGACCCATTACCGAGTTGACACCAGAGGCATCTTTACTGATTATCCATGAAGTTGAAGTCATTGAAGCTCTCAAAAATGTTCAAAGGTATAACCGCCTTTTTCAGGGTGGTTTTAGTGGTGTCATATGGGTAGGTTTGTTTACATAATAATACACCATTATCACTTTCTTTTAAATTTCTTTTTTGATATTTTGTTTCCCTTTTGGCAATTGGCAGAAAGTTTTTGAGGTTCCTGATGTATTTAGAAGAATGTTATCTGGTTTGATGGATCCAGATAGATTCAGAGGAAACTACTATGCAATGCGTATCTTTGCTGTAAGTTAATCACATAAATCAGTATTTTTTATGGGCTTAAAAATTAATGGGACATTTTTTTTCCTGATTGCAGTTGTTGATGTCCTGCATTTATAATATGAGTTCCTTTGACTTCATTCCAACAGGTTTGTATTGTTGTATACTACATTCATATTGCATTAAATAGCAACAAACTTTACCAAAGTAGGTTGCTATTTCTTGCAATTTATTGTATAATGAGAGGAATGATATGAATTGAGAAATAATAAATGTATATATATATATATATTTTTTGCAGGGACTATAGGGGTAAGGAGGTTGTTTGATATTTGTGCTATAGCACTAGTTGTAATTCTGTGTTTGATTGGCATATGCCATAGATTGGTGCTTAGAAGACGTGTTAGGCAACTTGCAGCTACTCAATTATAAGAGATGTGATTCAAAATTCACCAATGAAGGGAGAGGTTATATTAGACTTTTTCTCATTTTGCTTCATAGTTTGTATTGTAAACTTGTGGGCATTGGGTAAAGTTGTTGTACATTGTGTATTATATATAATATGAAGGAAGACCACTTAATCGATTAGGATAAAACATCACATGGTAATCACCTGTCCAATCATAAGAAGATTAGCTTTGAATATAATTTGGATTATAGTTAGTGATTCAATTGTACATTAATGGATTTGAGGTTTGATTACCGGAATGTATATGCATGTTTTATTTTATGTCTTTTGATTGTATTGTGTTTTGTGTGCATTGTAGTTAACCCTTGTCTATGATGGATGACATTTGCATTTTTTCATGTTTTTGTAAAGCCATCACTCTATAAGCTTTATTTTGTCTGTTTTATGATGTAAATTGTTGAATTTACATAAAATATATAATTACAAGATATTTTATTTCCGATAATCATTTGATTTCTAATATCATTTAATAAAGGGTAAATGTCACAAAAATGATTAAGTTTATATGAAAATTTGATTATAATATTATGTTATTTTTTGTCTCAAATTGGATAATGTGTTTCCAGTTTGTTACAATGATGACGACATGTGAGTTTTGATAACGGGACATGCTTTGATAACATAACATTTTTGACTTGTCAAAATTGAAAAAAAAGAATATTGCACAAAAATGTTTTTTTTTTTTTTCAATTATGATCCCATGTTTCTTTATTCTAAATTAAACTATTATTTTTCCAATTTTGTTTACTTATTGACTATTTTCTATTTGATTTGAAACTGTAGAAATATTTTTTTTACATTTAAAACCGTATAAATATATATATTTTTTCATTTAAAACCGTCTTTTTTTTTGGTATAAATACAATGTTTTTTATGATCAAACCAAAATGGTATGTATAAATATCCATTAGTTATATTATAGTTGTATTTTTCATTAAATATGCAATTTTAAAATGAGTTTGGATGTGAATGCACAATTAGATAAACTAATGTGATCTCAGGAACACAAAGATTCGAAGGTCGTTTTAATTACCAAGGAACCGCTTGTATATACTCATGATTTTTGGTTTTTGTAGATATAATTCTTGATTTGTTGGAAAAAGTTATAACATCTAATGCATGAAAATACAGTTATAATATAATTAATATATATTTGGTTTGTTATCTATAAAGCTGCTGTATTTAATTGGAATTCTTCCATTCATTACAGATAATCCAATTAAAATACGATCAGGTTTATAGATAACAAACTAAATATGTATTAATTAAATATCGTATACTTAAATATAATATTGGTCTTAACGGGATTTGTAATGACATTAATTTGTACATATAATATTTTACACAAATGACCTCAAAATACACACAGGTAGCCGGACGTCTGTGTCCCCACCAACGGGTTTCACTGCTAATATACACAGGTAAATCACAATGTACAGAGAACAAGAAAGCAGATTATGTCTCTTATGTTCACATACTCTCAATCAACCCAGCATACCATGGTCCATGCACATTCCCACTAACCCCACTCATAACTCCCAACACCTCCCCGGCTTCCACCACCTTCTCAGCCAAACCGGCGGCACCAACTTGCCGGAGCACCTTTTCCGCCACCTCTCTCCCATTCCCACTGCCGACAAGCACCACTCCTCTTGTCGCCAAATAAACAGCTCGCGACACCTTAACAAAAACCGGGTCCCCAGCTTGTACGCTTTTTCTCAACATTCTTGCCATCACAACCCTTCTCGACTCATTTTTTGCCACGTCATCGGATTTATCTAAATCCTCTGCTATCTTACTCAAAACTTCAACAAGCTCCTCCAAACCAGCATCTATGATCGTGTCAAGTGTCTCGGAAAGCTGCATGGAGCATTTGAGCATCGTACGTTCCATATCCTCGGGATTTGATATCATTTCATCCATTACAAGTGTTTGTCTTAGAACCAAGATGCTGTGTGGAATGTTTATGTTATGTCTAAAATCAGCAAAATCGAAGGACCATAAATGTAATTTATTTCAACTTTTATTACCTGGTAGCAATTACGGTTATCTTCTGAAGTTGGGTCTGAACAGCTCTGAGTCTCAGAAAATTGAGTTTTAGGGTTTCGGGTAACTCCTCCTTCATCACACCATTGACATTATTCACCAGCTTAACAAGACCTAACCTCACTAGCAAATCACCTTTTTCTCCTTTGCATTCTGTATACTGATTATCCGTGGGAGACAATGACATAGTTTTGGATGAAATATGCAATGTACTAGAGAAGCTTCCACCAGTCCTGAGACCGGTGGAGGGCAGAACCGTCCTTTCATCTTGCAACTCTAATAACACCCTCTTGTGTTCGTTCCATTCCTCATCTTTGCAAGGAACCACAGATGAAAGCCATTCCATAGTCAGTGGAAGACGAATCAAGGCATCAGATGGTGGACCATAGACCTTTTCAAATGCTTTTTTTAAATATTCCATGCCAGTGGGTCCCTTCAGTAACGGTTCCATCATCTTAATTCGCGCCTTGCTAATTTCTTGCTTCAGCACCTGACATGGAAACAGCATTTCATATTTTTAATATAAGCCTGTGTTTCTTTCACACGCGACATGACAATCTTTCTAGGGCTATTTTCAATGATAAAGATGACAAGGGCATTTACGTCTTTTTACACATACAAGAGATACACAGCATGTCCATCTCCCACCTTTTTTAGTAGGACAAAAGATTTTAATTTTTTTTTTTTTTGTCTCGTTGACATTAGTTCTGGTCTCAAATCCAATACATGTTAAATGCAGCACAATCCGCTCTGTCATGTCAGGTATTACAAACAGGGCAAGATGACCTTGTACTGCAATTGACATATATTGGATTTGGGACCAGAACTGATGTCAACGAGACAAAAAAAAAAAATTAAAATCTTTTGTCCTACTAAAAAAGGTGGGAGATGGACATTCTCTGTATCTCTTGTATGTGTAAAAAGACGTAAATGCCCTTCTCATCTTTATCATCGAATGTAGCCCTAGAAAGATTGTCACGTCGCGTGTAACAAACAGAGCCTAAAGGAATAAGAGGAAAACATGCACCTGTATCTCCTCGAGTACAAACCGCAAACCTTTTATCAATGCGATTGCGTGTGAATGATTTGAACCATCGCCAGCCTGGCATAATTCAGCAAGTTCTGAGAGAACTTTTTGATGAGATTCTTTAAGTTTGTTTTCATGTGCTATGGCTGAAAGCTTCTGTAAACTGACTAATGAAAACTCCATGATTCTCCCAAGATATTCCATGTCCAAACTACGCGAGCTCAACAACTACAAAACAAGTGAAGGAAATATTTTTTCAATGTTACAATAAAAAAGAAATCGAATCCTTACACATACAGTTGATATGTTAATGAAAATCTCAAAATCCTACCTGAGAAAGAATATCAAGATCAATAGCTTCATGAATCTCTTGTTTTTGGCTTTGAGATGACATCTCACAAAGCTCATCTCTCACTTCCTTCATTAACATAACAACATGATCGTACTTTTCCTGTTTTATAGAATCCGAGATTCCATCCCAGAAAGCTTTTTCCATTGTCTTGCGCACCTGTTAATATAAATTATTGGAAGGAAAATTAAAAAAATGGTAGAAGAAAAAAATGAATATTGTGTATAAAAGCCAAGTTTTTACCACCTTTAGGTTTTCATCAGTCATAGTCAAACTATCATAATGCTGACCATGAAGAAATTCATTCACAATGAATACATTCTCCATACGTGGAATTGGAATCTCATCATTTTGGTTTACAAGATCTGAACTGCTAGGAACACTGGAATCAAGGTCTTGAAGTGTTGACTGAATAGGGGAAGTCTTCTCCTTTGATTGAAAGTACTTTTTTCTTGTGTTGGAAAGAGCATTCTCCAAACGGTTTATTCCAGCTTCTCCACTCAGGTGGAATATTTGTTCCCTCAACATTTTTTGATGTTCTGTAACCTGCATCTGAAGAAGATTCAAATACCAAGTAAGTAAGGTCGTTTGATTTGATTGCAATGCATAAAAGAGGAAAGAAAGTAAATAATAAAACCTGTTTCTGAAAAACTTTCACATCATCTGTAAGAGCACTATCATCTCCTTCAGGTATGACCTTGTATTTTTTCATCATAGAGATTTCCATCTGGCATGCAGCCTTTACCAAATCCTCCATTAAAGACTCTACATCCTTAACCTTCCATACAACAAAGCTATTCAAAAAAGAACACCATGCTGCATCAAAAGCTAGAATCTGAGACCGGAATGTGGGAAGTTTGACCAGTCCATGGTTCAAATATTGACCGGATGTCTGTGAAGGTCCATTCAGTATTATCTCAATCAACAACTCAAATTCTTGGACAAACTTGTTAGCAGAGAAGGTCAAAGTGGTCTCGCGATCCCCTTCACCTCTAAAAATTGCATCTGGATGACCTAAAATCATGTATGCACTTAACACGATTCTTGGTTGATACCTTGATAATCTAACAGATGGTTTTGTGGTTCTTGAAACAACTCGTGTAAGAAGGTGATTGATTTCATCTTGACCATGTAAATCGGGTAATAAAACTCTGTAACGGGTCTCTAAGCGATCAAGTAAAGATTTTGTGGTGTGAAGGGTAGAGGGATTTTCAATCAAATTTGCAAATTGCTCAAATGGCATTGAGATCACATGACTTGTGTTTATATTCAGAATGTGAAAGGTTTTGGCCAAATCTAAGGTAGTCTTCTGCTTAAGGAATTTTCTCCAGCATCTAACAGAAGAAGAAAAAATTATCATATTTAAGCAAGAATCAAGAATAGCTTTTTGTATTTTAAATCCAAACATGGTTTCTTTGTATGTCACACAAAGACTAAAGTACATTTATATGGATATATATACCTTCTTAATAGCGACTGAGATGTCTTGTTTCGTTGACTTTGGGTTTTGAGGATCTGCATTCTGTTAAATTATGTATGTTAATGATAAGAACAGAAGGACAATTGTATTGAAAATGAGCACAAAACACACAGATGACATGTTTTTGTTCCCATGATGGTTATGTTAACCCTATAATCTTTATCAAATCAAGCATAAAATCGATAATACCTACTTTTACCTAATCCCTGTTTACAAAGTTAAAAAGTTACCATAACACCTAAATGCCCCCTTAATACAGAACTTTCATTAGGACAATCCAAAACTACTTTAGTTTCCGCATGACTAAAACAGTGTAACACTGTCAAAAAATTTAAACTTGGATCAAGGAAGAATACCTTTTCTGTTCAGCAGCTTGGAGCTTGGCCTCTATAGATTGAGAAAGGTTATGATCATCTGCAGATTGAGGGCTCCTGCGCTTTGGCCGGGCTTTACTTGACAAATTCTCATAAAATTTCTGTCGCCACTCAAAAGAGAAAGAAGGAATTGAACAAGAAGAAAAGAAAGGTGAATAAGAAGCCAATTACAGAGCAGACTAGACTATGAGACGTTTTCTTCATTAACTCAATCACAGGAAGCACACAAACGCACATAAGAAACACCAGTTGATCGTAATTACCAATTAAATCTAATGATTAGAAAACTGAAGGAGTGCAGTTTACAGATGCCAAAAGGTTCTTGGTAATTGGCATAGCCTTAAACTTTAGATTTATCTTTTAAGGTTAACGATTTAGTTTTTCGTTTTCTAAATTAGTTCTTAATCACAGCAGTATGCTTGATAGATCGTCAAAACTGTTGATACTACTCTATAGATCTTCAAAAATCTTTGCTCTCGCTCAGCGGAGCTACCTTCCAAACGTATACATTTTCAAGTGAATTAAATAAATACAAAAACCTTACCTGTCGACGAAGATCTGCATTGCGAAGCTTAGCTTCGATCTCTTCAATGCTAGAACGAGAACCAGAAGCCTTTGTATCGGTGAGTCTCCGGCGTATCCTCGCCGGCACGGTCGGAGGCGATGACAACTCCTCACCGTCGAAAACCAAACCGGTTTCCGGAGAATTACCTACTCCTAACTCCATGAATTGAATCTCCCAATCGACAAATGCTCTAAATTAATTCAAAATCTCCTTCACTATCAATCGATCACACTTTACAGTTTACTCTTACAAAACCAAAATCAAATTAATCAAGATTTGCTCTTGTGAAATATCTTTCATATTTATTCAATCCTAGCATTAATTAATAAATATATAAAATATAAATACTAGTATTAACTAAAAAAAATATATATACTTAGCAAATAAATTACAAAGAAAAAAAAATATTTTTATTCTTTATTTCAATACTTCAATTTTGTATTTTTTGATTATATCTACTATAATAAATGAATGTTTTTTGCCACATGTCATCTTCTCATTCATTTGAACACATGATATTTTAAAAAAATTTTAAAATTTTTATTTTCCACTGTCACATTTTATTGTATTTTTTATTTTATTAAATTAAAATTCCATATTTAATGTGTAAAGTAATATATATGTAAAATATTTATTAGAAAGAGTTTATATATGTAATATATTCAAACATTAAAGTTTCATTAATTTTAATAATTCAATTTTTTTTCATTTTTCTTATAAATTCAAACTTTTCAAATTGTTAAATTTTCATATATATATATATATATATATATATATATATATATATATATATATATATATATTAATTAATTAATTAATTAATTAATTAAACCCATGTAATACATGGGTCTCACACCTAGTTTTATATTGAAACAAATGGTGGTTTAAATGAGTTTTTCTCTCCCCCACTCTCTTTATATATATACTAGGTATGAGAACCATGTATTACATGAGTTTATTTAAAATAAAAAACTAAATATAAAATTCTAAACATTTGAAAGTTTAAATTATAAGAAAAATAAAAAATATATTGAATTATAAAAATTAAAGTGTTTTTTTCTTTCTAATTTTAAACAAATAATTTAGATAAATAAATAAATAAAATTAATGAAGCTTTAATTTAGTAAATTTGAAATTAAAAGGAAAGCTCATTAAGAAAATTAATATGCGTTTATTATTGCATTTAAATATTATGTGAATTAATAAAATAGAAAAACTATAAAATGACATGTGGAATAAAAATTAATTCAAAATAACCACAAAATGACATTTGGCAAATTGAATGTGAGTGTGACAAGTGGCAAAAAAACCTTTCATTTATTAAAGTGTATATATATATACACACACACACACGCACACACACACACACACTAGATGAATACTTGTGCAATACAACAGTATATTTAAAATATTTACAAATATATGTTTTTTAATGTAACGACGTAATTTTTCAAAACCATTTTTCATTTCCAAACATAATTTATATCTCATAAAACATTCACAAACTCAAATGTTAACTTAGTAAAACACATCCCAGAATCTCAAAATATAAAACTCTACCGGTATGTACTGATCATGCCAGCGCCTTCCCGCGATCCTTGCTAGTACCTGAAACACATAACACATAGCACGATAAGCATAATGCTTAGTGAGTTCCCCACAATACCACATACAGTACATAAGCCACTCGAGGCTATAACTCGGTATGACCCTCCGGTCAATGTGTCTCAACGGGACCCTCTAGTCCCGTAGCTCGTTGGACCCTTCGGTCCGGTCTAACTCGTTGGACCCTCCGGTCCGGTCTAAATCGTTGGACCCTCCGGTCCGGTCTAAATCGTTGGACCCTCTGGCCTCATGAGTCGTTGGACCCTCTGGTCTGGTCTATATAACACATAGCATACATATAACACATTACACATAATCACAAACATACACATACACATAAGACCCTCCGGTTTGCACATAGATACCACTCTAGGTAATGTATAGTGAGAAGACTCACCTCGTAAGATGTCTTAAAAACTCTCGTGCTCGAATCCCCGATCTAGCCCCCGCCTATCAAACGATAACATCTCAAATCAATACTCTCTTTACGTTCTCATCTCTAAAGGATGAGTAGAAGACCATTCTACCCCTCCATGGACTCTTTTGAATCAGTTGACCAAAACCCTAAGGTCCATGGAAGTCAACTCCAGTCAATCGTCCTTCGTTGACCAGACTCGTCGAGTGCATTCGAGTGACTCGGCGAGTCCAGATGTGCTCTCAGAATCCTCCTAAGGCCTCACACGACTTGTCGAGTTAACCTCTCAACTCACCGGGTTACCACTGGTCACGAATCGCGGGGCAACCCGACTCGACTCGTCGAGTCCTCTCATGGACTCGGTGAGTGTCCTCCATGACAACACTCATTTGACCTCCTGAGGTTAGATCTGTTTCTCTAACTTATAGATATGACCTTATAACACCCAAAAGTCACGTAAAGGTCCAATATTTATGCTTATGCAACACTCATATGGCTCTATTTGATGATTTGGCTCTTAATATGACAACCAAGATCCAAAACCCCAAAGGGACTGCATAAAGTTGGATGATTGGGACTCTCTGGACCTCCCAAGGTTCAGATTTAAGGTCTATTCAACATTGGGACTTCTCATGCTTCTTATTCCAACTCAAGAAAGGGTAAATATACCCTTGATTAAACAAGCCTACACAATGAAGAAGAAAAGGGCGAATTGCTACCTCAAAGTGGAGTCTCCTTGCTTGAAAGTCACAGAACAACAACCTCATTTGGTCATTCTTGCTGGATCACTTCTTCTCCTTAGCAAAATCACAACAAATGGCTCAAGATGGCTCTCTCTCTCTCTCTCTCTCTCTCTCTCTCACTTCACATGCTTAATATGCTAGGGTTCTGTTCTCTGGGAAGGGTGGCCGCAAATGAAGGCCATAAGGATACTTAAATAGGGCACATGCCCAAGGATTTAGGGTTTCCGCCAACAGCATAGACTCGTCGAGTCCATTCGCCGACTCGTTTAGTCCACTCATTAATCCGAGTCATCATTCGCGGTCTTACTCGACGAGTTAGGGCATCAACTCGTCGAGTCACTCCTCATAACTCAAAATAAGTAATTATATGGTTATACATAGGAATCCGGATGTTACATTTAAATATATCAATGATGTTGTTGTTAGTTCTTATATACTAAATCTCATAATAAGTTGGTATAAACATTGTTTGTTTTCAATTATATGATAATGTAGACATCTTTTAAAATTCTATAATTGTAATTGTCTCAATGATCTTTACCTGCGGGTTACTATAAATAAAATTATATATAATATATGGTTTAATGATAATTATAGTAGTTGTTATGATTAATTAATTTTAAAAAGTTTATTTTTTTAGTATTTTAATTTCTATCATTGTAATTATTTAAAACATTAAATATTGTTTTTGTTTTTGAATGTAACAATATAATTTTTGTATATAATATTATTTTTAACTATTGTTGTTGTAAGTTATTAAAAATAGCGTATTTAGAAACTTTTAATTATTTTGATCTTAGAAATTTAATTTTTTTAAAATATATTTGACGAACATTGTTATTTTCTTTGATTTTAATTATTTAAAACAAAAAACATTGTTTTTGTTTTAAAGATAATATTATAAATTTTCATTTCTTCTCGTACGTTCGGAAGTGTGAAAACATGTGATAAATGTTCTACAATAAGAAAACCTATTGTTTGTTATCGATCATTAACCTTATAGAACGATTAGGTGCCCTAAAAGTTAATTAACTGCACAAAAATTCAATTCATGAAAGTGGCCAATCAAACATAAATCAAATTTAATGGTTCTAGTTTAAACAAAAACATAATCACTAGAATAGAATCACAGATCAAACATCAAATCATATGCTTCAAGTCAAACAATCAACATGTTTTGAACAAGAACTAGAAACTAGGGTTTCTTAGCCTCATATAGCTAAGAACAAGAATCAAGATGAAATTGAAATGTTTAATGCTTACTAAAATGAAATCAAAAGTGTTTTCAATGATTAGGTCTTCCCAAAGGCTCCAAGAAATCTCTTAGAATCGCCCAAGTTGCCCCAAACTGCTCCAAAAACCGTTCTACCCTTCAAAATGACGTTCTTGTGTTTTTAATTAAAGTTCACATGCTTTCCATAAGACCATGCGTTTTTGGCATGGCCATGCCTTTTGCCCATGTGTTTTTAGCATGGCTATTTGTCTTGACCATGTGTTTTTGGTATGGCCCATGCTTTTTGCTAGAATTCGAAAAGTCTTAACTGTTGGCTCCATCTTTAATATAGCTTCACCACGAGTCATGTTGCTCAAATATAAGATGACAAAGGACAAACACGACCCGTTTCGGTGTGACAAAAATCACATTTCAAACATAGTCCTTTGCTATGGAATGACCGATTCATCTTCTCCTTGTACTCCAAAGCTCCAAGCATCCAAGCTCCACGTTCCATGCTCCATAATGCCAGCAAAATAAATAACAAATGGTGAAGTATCAGACATTCTTAATGAAATATGCAATTGCCCAAATAATTAACTAAATGCAAGAATTATGAAGTAGAATGCTATGAAATGACAGAAATAACATGCAAAATAGGTGCATAAAATGCACCTATCAATCACTTTTAACTATATACAAAATATTCTTTGGTTTTATATTTAAGTTGATACTATAATGTTATATTTAAATTAACAATTTAAGTATTTTGTCCAAACTGTTCAAACGTTGTAGCTTTAAACTGATAATGGTTTACGTATAACAACATTTTAAATCTAATAAATTAAGTATAATATGTTAAAAGTTACATACATAACTTTATAAGTAGAAATAAATATATTATTTTAAAATTAAAATTTAGTTTATTTATGATTACACTTTAGGTTTGATATTTATTTAACCTTATTAACCAATTTATAATCATTATTAAAAAGACACCACTATAAGTTGACACTTTTAAATATTTACAAAATAATTTTTGGATTGTTTAAGTTTTACTAAATTTTACATTTAAGTTGATCATGTAATGTTATATTTAAATTAATAATTTAAGTATTTATACACATTGTTCTAAGATTGTATTTGTAAATGATAATGGTTTACATCCAACAATATATGAAAACTAATAAATTAAGTATAATATGTTAAAAGTTAAAAAACAGTAATTTATAAGTAGAAGTAAATATATTATTTTAATATTAAATTTTAGTTGACATATGATTACACTTTAGGTTTGATGTTTATTTAACCTTATTAACCAACTTAT